CAGCTCTTGCTGACACAACAGTTTGAAAGCAGGTGATTGTGAATAGATGGATGAGTATCATTTCAGTGGGCAACCTATTGAGGACATTAAAGGAACCTCCAACTGAGTGTCCCCCAGATAATGGTGATATCACTGACCAAAGTTTGTAGTATTTGCAGAATGATATCATGATATACCCAATGCCAATATGATATTTATTTATTTAATTATTTGCCAACAAGTATAAGGAAACAAGTCTCAGTATAGACAGACTTGGACACATGGAAAAATGGCACAAATTAATGGATATAAACAGGTAAAACATAGCCATAAACACATAGAAACTAACAACAGGATCTGGTAGAGTGTTCCAGACATTTACTACTCTATTGCTAATGTAATATTTTCTGCAATCAAGATTTGAGCAAATTACATTTAGTTTGTATCTATTGATGGCCCTTGCATTATTGAGATTGTAGTTAAAGTAGTCATTAGCAGGTAGGATGTTATGGTAGATAATCTTGTGTACTAAGCTTAAGTCGGAACATAGACAGCTTAGTTCAAGGTTATCCAGGCCTAAAATTTCAAGCCTGGTGGTATAAGGCATTTTATTGCGAGCAGAGGAGTTGAGTAGTCTTCTTGTAAAATACCTCTGACTCTCTCTAATGCAGTGGTCACCAACCTTTTTATCGCCGCGGCCCGCTGAGCGCACGCAGGGGTGGAGGCACGGCCCAGGAGCTTTTGCGCACGGCCCATTGCGCACGGCCCAGGAGCCTTTGCGCTGCAGCGTTCATGTCCCCCGGCCGCTGCGCGGCCCGGTGCCAGGTACTCTACGGCCCGGCACCGGTCCGCGGACCGGGGGTTGGGGACCACTGCTCTAATGTACTAATGTGTAAAATACAGTGTGGGTTCCAGGCAGGTGAGAAGTATTCAAGGATAGATCTGGCAAATGTTTTGTATGCCCTAGTTAGAAGTACAGCATTACCAGAGAGAAAACTTCATAAAATAAGGTTGACAACTCTTAATGCCTTTTTAGCAATGTTGTTACAGTGAGCTCTGGGACTTAGATCTTTTGAAATGAGTACTCCTAGGTCCTTGACAGAGTGTGGGTCATCTTTTAGAGCATTTCCGCCTAGCTTGTATTTGATGTTCTGATTTTTATTGCCAATGTGCAGGACTGAGCATTTGTTAGCAGAGATTTGGAGTTGCAAATTGCTTCACCATTCAGATACATAATCTAAGTCATTTTGTACGGTAGTAGAATTGTCTGTGGTGTTAAATCGTTTTACATCATTGGCAAAGAGGATGCAGCTGCTTGCAAAATCATCACAAAGGTCGTTAATATAAAGCAGAAAGAGTGTTGGTCCTAGAATGTTAACTGGTGCAGGGTTTGATATAGTGTTTCCACTTTTAACTACATGATAGGGACTGTCCCTTCCCTCCAAGTACCTATTTGCATAGGACTAAAGGATTGTTGTGTCTTCTTTGAAATAAATGTGTGTGTGTGTGCTTAGGAGAGAGACAGAGAGAGACAAATGTGGGGTAGGCATACTATTTATACATCAACTGTTGAGTTAAAAATTACGTGAATAACTGCATCTCCTTAATAAGATGTCATTGTCCGGGGCTTCCGGTTGGCGCCGCCATCGTCACCAGATGGTCTTTTAGGACTGCCAGCCCCGCCGCCCGTAAAGAGCCGCCTCCAAAGCTGAGAGGCAGCTCTAAAAACTCTGTTTCTTTTAGGTAATGTGAGAAGAGCCGGTGAGGTCAGGTAGAGCCCCCTGTGAAGTCCCCAGATTTTTTTTTTTTTTTTTTTGCTTCTGGGGAGGAAACAGGATGAGGCTCCCTATCCAGCTTGCCATGGCTCCGGACTTCGGGGGAACTCTGCATGTAGCAGAGCCAGACGACGCGACCAACGTAACAAGCGAAAGTCAAAGGATTTATTAAAATAAACAGGGTGAAATCTGGATCTGGAACTCAAAACTGCAATTATATATAATAGCCCTGTGATTGAATTTAAGAATGAAGAAAGAGTGAAGAAAGAGTGAAAGTTTAAAATGGCCTCCGGCTTTAGCTGTTTGAAAAGAAAAAAAAACTGAAAGCGAAAGTGGATATGCCTGATTGTCTCAGTATGCTACAAAGTATCTAAAATAACAGCGCTGGTTAGAAGAAAAGGAAAAAGTCTTTTTTTCCCAAACTGTCTTTATGTTCTATCTCCCTTAGAGACTTGATTAACTCTGAGAGGATTCTGTGCTGGTAAGAAGGGAGAGAAGACTTCCTTTTTAAAAAAGAGTTTGTCTGCGTGGCAGAATGGCTTCAAAGCCAGATAACAAAGCTGTATGGGGGGGGGGTTCTCCTATTCATAAGTCACAAGAGCAGTTTTTAAGCTTGCAGACTCAGAACCAAGACTTGAAGGAATTTATTATTGCGGCTCTGATGAGACAAGATGTGCTTATGGACCAGAAGTTTGAGAAATTTCAACAGGAAACTAAGGAGGTGATTCAAGAAAAGTATGATAAGATGAAGCGAGATATTTTGACAGTCTGGACTGGCTTCTCAGAAGTAATTGTCCAGATTGATAAAAAAAAATGGAAGAAATCAGTCTAGAAGTAGAGTCTAAAATGAAGGAAGCTGATTATAAGATCTATAATGTGGATAATAAAATGCAAAGGATTGAAAATGAAGTGACAATGATGCAGCTCAAATTTATGGAATTTGCTGTAAAACTGAGGGGGATAAAGGAAAACAACAGAGATTTGAGAAGGATACAAATCCTTCTCTGGAAAGGATCAGCATTTGCTGATGCTTTGGCTGTGATGTTAAAGGTTAGCCCTGAAGAGGTTTTGTCCAAAATTGACAAGATTTACAGAGTGAATTCTTGCGTGGCAACGCAAAGGCAATTGCCCAGAGATGTAGTGATATACTTTACAGATAAAAGAATAAGAAGTGACATCTTGCAAAAGTATTTTGTTTCTACCCTACAAGTGGATGGAAGGCAGATTGGGATTTATAAAGAGTTGCCACCTAAGATGCTAAAAGACAGAAAAGATTTTGGATTTTTGGTGACTGAACTAAAGAAACAACAAAATCCATATAGATGGGATGCTCCAGTTGGTATAAGATTGACGTATCAAGGAGAAAGATACCGATTAAATACTGTTGAAAAAGCAGAAGAATTTTATCGCAGTGTTTTTAAAATTGGCCCAACATCTCCATGTATATTTTCAGCGTCAGGAATACAGGAGGGAGATAAAGAAAAGCAAATTGAACAAGAGATTGAAGCCCAGTGGAAGCAGATGGAGGTGGAGCCAATGGAAATACAAGGAACTACAGGGGGCTTTTTGGATGACCCATTCTCGGATCATCCTTTAAAGGTTATAGGTGGACCACCTAAAAACACAAGAGACGTGGCTTTGGATCTTGATCTGATGTCCCACAAAGTTAAAGATCAGCATATAACTCGAACAGCATACAAACAAATTCCAGAAAAACAACAACAGCAGAGGTTTAAACCAGCACAAGGCAAGAAAAGAAGCAGGTTCCACAAAACTAGAAAATTTTAGACCAATATCTCTTTTGAATATGGATTAAATTTTTTTTTGTAAAGTTATTAGCCAACAGATCAATGCCAGTTATCCAAGAACCGAATCATGTTTAAGCAGGATTTATAGAAGGCAGATATATGAAAGACAATGAGAGGCAAATTATAGATTTATTGGACTATCTTGAGAAGAATAAACAGATCCCTGCAGTGCTGGTGTTCTAGGATGTGGAGAAGGCCTGTAATTGAGTGAATTGGAACTTTCTATTATAGATTTTAAGAAAGATGGATTATGTGTACGTTGAAGGGAATAGTCATGAGGCAAGAGGACTATGTAACAAGGGCATTTGCAGTTGATCTGGTTGTTACCTAACATGGTCAATGGAATTAATAATCTAGATGAAAGACTTTACAGAAGATATCATATGGAATATAAATATAAAGTCACTCGGGGGGGGTTTATATATAAAAGTACTTTTCAATAATGGGAGCAGATGACAACTAAAGACACTAAATATACTGTTGGGAGAAGGACTTGATGTGATTGTTTAGACTTTATAAATTATTATATATGGCGGACCTGCGGGAAAGTGGGTGAGACAAAATTGATATGGTATATGGTGATAGGCTAGGTTACTGATTGCTCAATACTGAAAGGGATGTTATGTTTACTATTGAAGAATGGACTCTGAAGCTGGCCAGTTTCGCAGAAATGGTGAAGTTATCAGCATATATAATAGACTGGACACAAGAGATCTATGTAAGGGAGTGGAGGACATGGATAGATTATGTGCAGAATAAATACTAAACTAGGAAGTAACAGATAATTTTTAGTTTAATGTTGTGTAGAAATGTATAGTTTACAGGGGATAGTATACTAGAATGTCAGGAAGAAATGTATACCATACAGGGGGTAGAGTAGATGGGCGGTAAAGTATTATATAATATGATTTGGATCTGGATTTCATCCTGGGGAAGCCATGGGGGGAGGGGAAGGCAAGGGAGGGCTAGGGAGGGAAAGGGGGGGAAGGGGAAAAATTTGTATTTGTAAAACTTTTTCAATAATAATATAAAAAAGATGTCATTGTCCATATAAGATTATGTATAGAAAGAGGAGACAATATAAGGAAACAGAAATACAGAATTGCTAAACAATCTCATGTTTTTAATTTATATAATAGAACTACTTCAGGAGCTAAATGGATTATTTCTAATTACACTAGTTGCAATTCAAATTGCTGGATGTCGCCCTTCAAGCTAAACAGGGCACAGAACTATGGACCAGGTATGGGTTAGAAAGATCTTCCAGGAGAGAGATTAGTCGAAAACTGAGTTAGTGCACACTAATATAAGCCAAGGATCAAGTTTTAAAAAAACTGAGGTTCCAGAAGCACATAGATCGCCCACACTAAATAATGAATCTGAGGTTGGTGCAAATTTTCTGACAAGGTGCAGCTATTGGCAACAAAGGACAGGACTCATTTAAACTGTCGACACCATTCTTTTTAAGGAGAGAGTACCATGTGTCAGCTTGGCTCTACAAATTTCACAAAATGTCCTGAGGCTGGGGGTGTATGTGTTCAAGACCTTGATTGGCTGACTTCCCTTGTACCTTGTCTGGCTGATAAGAGATGGAGTCTGACATTATGTTCAGAAAAGTTCTTCTGTTTCTCTAAAAAAAGCAGATAAGATGTTGAAACATACAGCCATATCATTGCTTTCTGTCACACTTCCAAAGTTGGCAGGGTGAAAAATCTGAATCCCTTGCATTTGTGGAATGACCTTTATTTTTAGGGAAGTAAATGTCAAAAAACCTTGAAAATCTGTCAAAACTATTCGAAAGATCAACTTAATCCCAGCAAAATGGAGGAAAAGATATTCTGAATCCCTTTCTTATGGCCTGCCTTTCTTTTACTGAGGAGAATGAAGAATATTTTGACAGAGATGTTGTGAAGCTCATGGGCTGCAGGATTATTATTATTTTTAATTGTATTTATATGCCGCCCTTCTCCGGAGACTCAGGGCGGCTTACAGTGCGTTAAGCAATAGCCTTCATACTTTTGTATATTTTATACAAAGTCAGCTTATTGCCCCCACAAACTGGGTCCTCAATTTACCTACCTTAGAAAGGATGGAAGGCTGAGTCAACCTTGAGCCTGGCAAGATTCGAACTTACTTTAATTGCAGACAGCTGGTGTTAAATTACAGTGCCTTGTCTGCAGAGCCACCCAGGCTCCCAAATCAGGCTCTTAAATCAATTCATTTTTTTATTCATGCATATTTTATCCTGTTCTTGATTAGCTATTGCCTACTATTCTGATTTGGGCTCAAAATCATTATCTAACATTAAAAAAAGATTAAGGGAACATTCTAGCTTCTGAAGTGAACTTCTCAGAATTATTGCTTTGTATGTCCTATTGATGTGGTGATGGACAGAAAAAGACAGAACCTCAAATTGGGCAAAAAAAATCCCATTATGCTAAAAGCAGCCAATAAGGTTTCATTCAAGGGATATGGTGTTAAAATCAGTTTCATTTTTTCATTAGTTGCTCCTTCTTATTCAGATTAGGTCTCAGAACAATGATATAGCATTTGGGGGAAAATATGCAGAGCAGTAATCCAGCTGCTGAAGCCAAAATGGAGAAGATCTCCACAGCCACCATGTATTTCCCCTTGGTACTCAAATAGGTGGGAACAAACGATACCCAGACACTGCAAAAGACCAACATGCTGAAGGTGATAAATTTGGCTTCATTAAAGCTGTCAGGCAAATTCCTGGCTAGGAAGGCCACAGTGAAACTGACAGCAATCAAGAACCCCAGAAAGCCAAGCACTGTATAAAACATGGTGGTTGAACCTTCGTTACATTGTAGAACTATTTCTTCAGCCATGGAGTGCATGTCAGAATCTGGGAAGGGAGGAGAAATTGTGAGCCATACTACACAAATGCAGAATTGTGTCAGAGAGCAAGATAGGACAATAGAGATAGCCAGCCTTTTCCCCACCCATTTTCTCATTTTGGATCCAGGCTTGGTAGCCATGAAAGCAAGGACCACTATGATTGTTTTCCCCAATATACAAGAAAGAGCTACAGAGAAGAGGATGCCAAAGGCCGTTTGTCGCAAGAGACATTTGACTTGGTCAGGTTGCCCAATGAAGAGCAAAGTGCAAAGGAAAGAGAGCAGGAGAGCAGCAAGAAGGCTATAAGTGAGGTTCCTATTATTGGCTTTCACAATAGGTGTTTCCTGATGTTTAATGAATATCCTGAGCACCACAGCTGAGATGACAGAAAAGGAGACTGCAATCACTGCCAAAGAAATCCCCAAAGGTTCTTGATAAGTGAAATAAATTGTACTTTTTGGAAGGCAACTATCCTTATCCTTGTTTGGATATTGATCCTCTGGACATGGGAAACAGTCATCTAAGTCTGAAAAAGAAACCATTCATAAAAGCATTATTGTTTTGAATCATCTTCATTTCATTTTCAGTATGTTACAATTTTACAGTATTCTATAGACATAATGAGATCCCAATTTGATAACTGGAGTGCCTTTTATATGGTGCTACCCTCAAAGACCATTTCAAAATCCATAATTGATCTGCAATGTGATGGACCTGCAATTACCTCACCTAGTTTTGTTATTTCCGCATGAGCTATACTGGCTCCAAGTTGCTTACTCTTTGCAATTCAAATTTCTGGTTATCACCATTGAATGCCTGGATGTCACTGGATGAAATGATAGGTGAGATCACCTTTCTTCAATGGTATCTGTCTTTCTCAATAAGTCTGGTAGGTAGGCATGCTCCAGATCTTGTCTGAAATATTGCTGTCAGGGAGTTTAGAGTTTAGTCTGGTCTATAGCATTCAGCCTTTTCCAATACTCTTCCATCTGAATTATTTGGGTTTCCTATTCTTTTATCCTTGTAGCAAGCTTGGAAACCCTTGTTATTCACTTAAAGTATTATGGTAGAATGGGGATTGACTCAGGAGCCTGAATTTCTGGTACCTGGTGGCAAGGTTCTTTTGTTTAAATTATTATCCGTGTTTCTAAATATTGTGGTAAGCCACATAGGTTATATTATATGTGATAGGCAATAACAGACATTGCAGAATCAATCAATCAATCAATCAATCAATCAATCAATCAATCATTTGGAGAGAATATGAAGTAAAAACAAGTAAAAACTATGGAAAAAAATTAACAATGCAAAATTACGAAGTATAAAATTAATTTAATTGTTTCATTGATTCACATTAATATGAAGTGAAGCTCAAGATTTGCATATGAAAATTCTAAGGATTAGTTTCGGGCAATGTACCAGATGCTGATGTGGGAAAACCTTTAACTTGAGATCCCTCTGAGTATGTTCTACTTAAGGTCCCATTTCTTGTTGGTGTCAAATCAAATCAAACATCTATAATGTGGTCTTTGAACAGGCTTGACTGAAAAAGGAGTACTGTAAAATGGATAGTTTAACATAGCAAAATTATTAGTCCATGAAAAGGGAAAAATGAGACTACCTGATTAAACATGAGAGGCCAAACAACATCCTTGGCAGAAATGGTGAGTAGTTTTTCTGGGGGAGCCAGGGGGTCGATTTTTCCAATTTGGACTTTCAGAAAGGACTTGTTTGGAAATGTGACCCAATTGAAAATATCAAATCCAGTTTCTAATTGCCCATTGGGGCCAAAAGAAACCTGTACTCCAGCACTGTTGTTAAAGGAGACTTGTTGCAAGAAACGGTGGAGCTGAAGGAAGAAGAAAAAAAGAGGGGGAAACAACCCCAGGAAACTTATCAGGAATCTTTGAAAGGGATGTGAAAATTTCAATTTGATTCTTTCAATTTGGCCTAAATAAACTTGAGATTTTCTTCATGCGATTCATTGACAAATTTGCTATTCACTTGGAGTAATACTATTCCTATTTTCACAAGATTTCTTATTATTTTATTATTATAATTCCCTTAGAATCTTAATATCTAAGGAGATTCTTGGTCATCCAAGCATTGGTTGTCCCTAAGGTGTTTTTTTTTCAAAAGGCAACTGGACTTTCTTTGTTTTTCCTTGAAGATGTTTTCCTTCTCATCCAAGAAGCTTCTTCAGTTCTGAATAGAAGCAAAACACGTTCAAGAAAGATAAAGAAAGTTCCTTTGCCTTTTGAAGAAGCACCTTTGGGATCTTTGAAACTCAGTAACTCCAAAATTCAGCTGGTGAGGAATAATAATGCTATTCAGTAGCAGAGTAGTTTTCAAGTTTCTACATTAAAAATTGTCAAATATAATGGACTGAATAAGATCCTGCACAACCATTTTAGACATAAAAGAAAGTTGGAATGTTACATATTTCTAACAGTCTCTACATTTAAGGATTAGAATTATATTTATTTTTTATTTTCTTTGATATGAAAGTTTCCAGTATTTCCATATAGTCCTCAAAACTATCTGTAAAGCTTTATAATAGTTAAAACAAAAGAAAACAGAACAAAAACCGAAAACCTATTCTTATTCTTAATTTTCCCCGAATTTTTCATTACACAACATTACTTGCCAAGGTGATTGGAGGAAGAGCTTCCATCTCCTCTCATTCATTTTTCATGCAGTTTTCATTTTCTACATGTAAAATTGTCAAATATAATGGATTGAATGACATCCTGTACATACCATTTTAGACATAAAATAAAGTTCATATGTTACAAATTCTTGTGTCTTTATCTAAGCCTTAGATTTATATTCCTTTTTTTATTTTCTTTCATATGAAAATATCAACTACTTCTATATAGCTTTCAAAGCTATCTATAAAGAATTCTAACTGTTAAAACAACAGAACGCAACAAAACAACACAAAACACAAACCAGTCTCCTAGTCTGGTACTTGGTGATTTCCCCAAATTTTGTATTAGCCAACATTACTTGCCAGGGTGATTGGAGGAAGAGCTTCCATCTCCTCTCATTCATTTTTTGTCCCCTTTGAGTTTGGCAGAGCGCATGGCCTTCAGAGCATGTGCCACAGCATAGACTGCATTATAGACACTGTAACTATGTGCATTCATATTGGTCTCAAAGACAGAATTAGGAAGAATCTCCAGCTTCTCTTTTCCAGTGCAGATCCTTTCAGCATTCTCATCTCTAATATCACTGGACAAGGAGCATTCAAATGCATCTTTCCAGAAATCCCTAATAAGCCCATCATCTTTTTCTAAGTTTGGGTCTTTATTCTGCATAAATTGTTGAAATCCGGTCAGCTCCTTTGAGTGAATTGCAAAAGAAAGTGCACCATGGAGAAAATCAATGGGCAACTGTCTATGAATTAGAATGGATGTGAATTCCATCTGGGCTGACATGATCCAAATTTTGGCCGTTCTCTCCTTTGGAATATTATCATAATTGAAAAAATAGATCATGAGTCTCAAAGGCAACAAGCCTGCATTTTCAGCACTTAACATAACTGCAATGACTGTACTCTCCATGATCACTTTGAATATTTTACCTGCGTTTTCTATCCACTCAGCAGCTGCATTACCATACCTCATCTGGGGAAGACATTCTATAAAATCAAAGCAGATTCCTCTCTCTGAAAAGATGGAAAGTCTCTTCTGAATGAATCTTTCTCTTTCTCCTTCAAACAGAGAAACTAACCCAACCCAGGTCCATCCAAAATGCAACAATAAGTGCAATATTCCTTTCAATTGATAGGTTTCATCTGGGAACATCCATTTGACAAACATTGCTGTTTCAGTATTAATCAATGGAGCAGATCCATATGAGATCTAAATGGAGAAAGTCAGAAGAACATAGGAATGAAGGATAGCTTCCAAAATAAAAATGATAATAAAAACCAATTAATGTGTATTTATTTAATCCAATATCTTGGTTTGAGTGGGATACAAAAATAGGGTGCTTAAAATTAGTCTTAGATGACATCTGCCAAGTTGGTCATCAAGCAAAAAGGGACAGTCCTTTCAAGATGTTCTTATTCATGGTTTTGCTCAAATTTTCATTTTAGTGACCTATGTTTTGAATATAATAAATAGCTGGCGAGCAACTCATATTGATCCATTTTTTGTCTCACCTGGGGAACTTTGTAGTTGCATAGAGTTATTGCCATGTTGAGACAGGTGTTTCTACGGGGTCCTCCAATGACAGCTACTGTGTTGGTCTGGTCCTTGCATTTGTAGTTGGGTATAAATTTATCCTTTGTAGATAGAAATTCCATTGCTAAATGATAAATTGTAATTGTCACAGTATAGTGAGTAGCGATATGGAAACCAAGGCTAACATTGGGTAAAATCCCAGAATGTTCATTGATCTCCTTTACAGCAAATGCCAGAGCCAAAGTGTGCTGGTAATTATGAGTGATGAACCTTCAGCGAGAGTTAGAATCTGTCAATATTTTTCTATTTCAGAATTGGACAGCTGTTGTAATGTATACATATAAATTATACATAAATATAATATAAATTAGTGCTTATTTTTTCTTCTGGACACCTGCAATTTGGTCACTAACAAATAGCCCTAGATTGTATCAACTAGGAAACACTGACCTACTTGTGGCAACTTAACGTTCAGCTAAGGTAACATTTAATCAGACCATATTTGAAATATTGTGTTCAGTTTTGGAGACCTCACTTTAAAAAAAATGTATCGATAAGGTTGAGAGAGTCCAGAGATGGGCAACAAAAAGGCTACAAGAACAGAGAGAAAATATATCAGGAAATATTAGAGGAAACAAATATATTCATCCTAGAGGGCAGAAGGAAAGGGGGTACATGACTGAAACTTTTAAATGAATTAAAGAGTGTGAATAAAGTTCTAGAAGACAATATTCTCAATATTAAATACAACATAAGAACATGGGGATATAATCTTACAGTGACAAGAGTGAAGTTCAAAACTAATTTTATTATTTCACAGAAAGAGTAGTGGATCCGTAACCAACTTCCAGAGGAGCTAGTGGATCAGTCATCAGTAACTGAGTTAAAACTCGCTGGGGATAAACATATGACACAGACAAAACATTTCTGCCATCAGTTTCCTATGTCTCTATGTGATTTGAGCATTATCTCTATCTTATCCATATTTTCTGAGAGAATAAAGCCACTTCTCTTTTCACACCCTAGATGTATGATAGCTTAATATATGCCCTAGAGGGTTTCTATTTTATATCTGGATGAAATGAGAGGCAAAAAAGCTCAAGATTAACCAGAGAGCTCCTGCAATATTTAGATTAGTCAAACTTTCTACTTTCATCAAGGGACTTTGTTGAATGAAGGAAGTTTCCTGAAGGGAATGAAATTCATATACTTTATGATTAAAACTAATAATATTGATCTCAATTTCAACATCAGTATTAGGATAGGTCTACAATAAAAAAAAAAGGACTACATACGGTCACTGGAACAGGTTATAACAAGTGACTAGCAACCAATACCTTTAAGCCTAAACATGAAAGAAAATGCATCTTTTAGGTGGCAATGTGCCGGAAACGGAGGTTGTAGTACGAGGAGGAGGAGAGTAGTAGGATACTTACAGGTACTGATCTAGGACATCATAAGAAGGAAACCTTTGAAAAGTGATCTCGTTTGTAAGAAAGAAAACCTGAGAAATAATAGCAGCAATGATTAAATCTCCAGATTGGTAATATTTATGAACAATTGGAAGAGGACTACTAAATCTACAAGTGAAGGGAGGAGAAATGCTCATCATAGTTGGGGAAAAAAGTAAAACTAATGTTCTGAATATAACAAATTCATTGTAATATGTACTCATTGTAGACATGAAATAGTACCTCCCATGTTACCATTCAACTAACTCATTAAGTGTATCTAAAGTTAAGGTAATGAACTTTATCTAAAGTTAACAGAATAGCAGAACTGGAAGGGACTTTGGAGATCTTCTAATGAAATATCACAGATGAAACACAAATCCTCTCCCTCCCCCCAAACACACACATTCATGTCTGTATTTCTAAGCAGATATTAATATAATGCAATGTCTTAATCCAAGCTCATCATTTTTACAGTGTTTGCTGGAATTCCCTTAAGATTTGGAGAAGAAGGGACAATAACTATTCTTCATTACTAATCACTACCATTCTTTGCAATGATACTTTGAGAAATATCAGGAAGAAACATGTTTATCATATGTCAATAGACAGTGCTGCACTGCTATGAACAGTGGTGGGTTCCACCCGGTTCCTCCCGGTTCCGTCAAGCCGGTAGAAGTGACGAAATGATGTCACCGAACCGGTTCTGACCCCCACACCCCATGCCCCCCATGCGTTAGTCTTACCTTTTATTTAGCCCCACCCCCAATCTATTGCTGCCTCCTGAGTCCCAGCTGATGGGCTATAAGGAAAAACTGTTTAAACTCTTGCCCTGGGGCTTCAAAGGGCAGCCCTACAGCTGATCAGTGGTAAAAGGCAGATTGGTGGTAAACCGGTGCCTCCAAAAACAAATGAGTAGACCAGTGCCTGCAAAAATAAATGGGCAGACCAGTGCCTGCAAAAATACATGAGTAGACCAATGCCTGCAAAAATAAATGGGTAGACCAGTGCCTACAAAAATTCATGAGTAGACCAGTGCCTGCAAAGATAAATGGGTAGACCGGTACAGCTCTGCAAGCAGTTAAAAGCCTGGTAGACCAGTACCTCTGCCAAATCCTAAAGATTTGTCACATGACCATCAAGCCACTCCCACAAAATAAGCCACGCCCACAGAAAGTAAAAAAAAATAGAACCCACCCCTGGCTATGAACATTTGGAAGACGTGAAATAAATATGGGGGAATGGGAGTTCATGTGCTGAGATGAAAACATAATAGAACTATAGAAAGGAAAAGAATGGAAACAGTTCTGTTGGGGTCATTTTTCTCAATAATTTTGTTATTAACACTTTGCTGAATACAACACTTTGGTTTTTAAAAACAATCTTAAATTGTTCTGGTTTTAAAGCTTCATTTTATTGATGAAATGGTACACCACCCATTTCTGAAGGAGATGGGAAGCAAAGAAGTGTGAAATAATGAAGGAAGGAAGGAAGGAAGGAAGGAAGGAAGGAAGGAAGGAAGGAAGGAAGGAAGGAAGGAAGGAAGGAAGGAAGGATCTATCTTGAAAAGGAGTACTATAACAATTATTCAGTCTCCAGAAAGACATTATCTTGGAATGTAAAAGATGTAGTCCATCAGAAATGAGGCTCTGAGTTGGGAGTTGAGCCTGTTATGGTGGATTTACAGTTCCTGAAAGAGCAGATGAGCATTTTCTGAATGCTCCTCCTGCTATCTCTTTTTCTCAAGATCCTGTAGCAATCAGGAGCATTTTTGACAACACCCAAATATCAGAATAACTTTTGGGAGTCTTCTCTTCTCTTCTCTTCTTTTCTCTTCTCTTCTCTTCTCTTCTCTTCTCTTCTCTTCTCTTCTCTTCTCTTCTCTTTTCTCTTTGTTTTTTTTTTTCAATTGTTTGACTGGTTTTCAGTATAGAGCCTGGGACTCACATCATTACAAGAGAGAAGGGATAACCAGAAGTCTCTTTCAGTTTTGTGAAAATATGGACACTGTATCACTATGCTACACAGCTGCCCCAGAGCTTAGCTAGTCTTGGTAATCCTGGACTCAATTTCTGTATCACAAAATTCATAGCTCAAGATAATACTTCCCAAGTACTTGAAGCTCTTACATTTGTCATAAAGAAACTAAAGAATGTTTGCTGAGTAATCATTTGAAAGAGGAAAGTAAAGCTGAAGTGATGGTACTAGTCAATGAGTTAAGGTGTATTTAGGCTTTCCAAAAAGAGCAAGAATCTCATCTCATCTCATCTTCTATCACCATTTAGCCAACTATGTCTCAACGAGCTACATGGAGCATGGAGGCTCATATGTTTTAGGTACTAGTTTGATAATCAGCAGGATCACATTCAACATCAGATTGCTACCTCTTGTTCACATGGGCTCCCATCACTCGCTCCAGCTCCTGCTGACACAACAGTTTGAAAGCAGGTGACCCTGAATAGATAGATGTGTACCATTTCAATTGGCAATTTATTAAGGACATTAAAGGAGCTTCCAACTGAGTGTCCCCCAGACAATGGTGATATCACCAACCAAAGTTTGCAGTATTTACAGAATGATGTCATGAGATACCTAATGGTGATATGATATCACAGGTACTGCCCCTTTCCTCCAAGTACCATAGAACTAAAGGATTGTTGTGTCTTCTTTTAAAATAAATGTGTGTGTGTGTGTCTCTGTGTAGGAGAGAGACAGAGAGAATGATGTGGGGTAGGCATACTATTCATACACCAATTATTGAGTTAAAAACAATGTGAAGAATTGCATGTCCTTAATAAGATGTTATTGTCCATATATGATTAGGGATAGAAAGAGAAGAAATAAGGATACAGAAATACAGAATTGCTAAACAATCTCATACTTTTAATTTATATAATAGAACTACTTCAGGAGCTACATGGATTATGTCTAATTACACTGGTTGCAATTCAAGCTGGATGTCACCCTTCAAGCTAAGCAAGGCACAGGATATGGTAACTATGGACCAGGTATGAAAAGATATTCTGAATGTTTTTCTTATGCCCTGCCTTCCTTTCACTGAGGAATATTTTAACAGTGAAGCTCATAGGATGCAGGATTTAAATCAATTCACTTTTGTATTCATGCATATTTTATCTTGCTCTTGATTAGCTATTGCTTACTATTCTAATTAGGTCTCCAAATGATTATCTAACATTAAAAAAAGATTAATGGAACATTCTAGGTTCTGAAATGAATTATTGCTTTGTATGTCCTGTTGATGTGGTGATGGACGGAAAAAGACAGAACCTCAAATTGGGCAAAAGAATCCCTACATGCTGAAAGCAACCAATAAGGTTTCATTCAAGGGATATGGTGTTAAAATCAGTTTCATTTTTTCATTAGTTGCTCCTTCTTATTCAGATTAGGTCTCAGAACAATGATATAGCATTTGGGGCAAAATATGCAGAGCAGTAATCCAGCTGCTGAAGCCAAAATGGAGAAGATCTCAACAGCCACCATGTATTTCCCCTTGGTACTCAAATAGGTAGGAACAAATGACACCCAGACACTGCAAAAGACCAACATGCTGAAGGTGATAAATTTGGCTTCATTAAAGGTGTCAGGCAAATTTCTGGCTAGGAAGGCCACAGTGAAACTGACAGCAGTCAAGAACCCCAGAAAGCCAAGCACTGTATAAAACATGGTGGTTGAACCTTCATTGCATTGTAGAACAATTTCTTCAGCCATGGAGTGCATGTCAGAATCTGGAAAGGGAGGAGAAATTGTGAGCCACACCACACAAATGCAGAATTGTGTCAGGGAGCAAGATAGGACAATAGAGATAGCCAGCCTTTTCCCCACCCATTTTCTCATTTTGGATCCGGGTTTGGTGGCCATGAAAGCAAGGACCACTATGATTGTTTTCCCCAATATACAAGAAAGAGCTACAGAGAAGATGACCCCAAAAGCAGTTTGTCGCAAGAGACATTTCACTTGAGTAGGTTGCCCAATGAAGAGCAAACTGCAAAGGAAAGAGAGCAGGAGAGCAGCGAGAAGGCTGTAAGTGAGGTTCCTATTATTGGCTTTCACAATAGGTGTGTTCTGATGTTTAATGAATATCCCGAGTACCACAGCTGAGATGACAGAAAAGGAGACTGCAATCACTGCCAAAGAAATCCCCAAAGGTTCTTGATAAGTTAAATAAATTATACTTTTTTGAAGGCAACTATCCTTATCCTTGTTTGGATGTTGATCCTCTGGACAAGGGAAACAGTCATCCAAGTCTGAAAAAGAAACCATTCATAGAAACATTATCTCATCATTTCATTTTCAGTATATTCCAATTTTGCAGCCATCTGTAGACTTAATGAGATCTCAGTTTGATTACTGGAATGACCTTTATATGGTGTTGCCCTTGAAGACCATTTCAAAAGCATAACTGGTTTGCATTGGACATGCACTTAACTCACCTAGTTCTATTACTCTGCATGAGCTATACTGGTTCCTAATTGTTTACTCTATGCAATTCAATTTTCTGATTATCACCACTAAATCCCTGGATATCACCTGGCCAAATTATAGGCTAGACCACCTTTCTTCAATGGCATTTGTCTTTTTCAATAAGTCTGACAAGTAGGCATGTTCCAGCTCTTTTGTGTTAAATGTTGCATTAGGGGAGTTCAGAGTTGTATCTGGTCGGTAGTGTCCACTTTTTTCCAATATTTTTCCATGAATTATGTGAGTTCTCTACCCTTTTATCCTGGTAGCAGGTTAGGAAAATTTTATTGTTCCCCTAAAGCATTAGGCTAGAATGGGAGTTCACTCAGGAGCCTGATTTCTCTGTTACCTGGTGACTTCTAAAGATTTTGGTAAGCCACCGAGGTTTACTATATGAGATAGGCACCCATATACATTCCAGAATCAATCAATCAATCAATCAATCAATCAATCAATCAATCAATCAATTATTTGGGTGGAAAAGAATGTAAAAATTAGTATAAACCATTGACAAATTACCAAAGCAATATTACCTTTATTTCCATTCTAATATATTATAAAAATTTTACAGGACTATTGGTACCAAAGATGAAGTTAACGTTTAATAAAATAATGGAAGGGGAAAATATTCCAAGTTCCTGGAAGGAATCTTTGATAATACTGACAGCGAAACCAGATAAAGTTCATAGAAACCCAGCATCATATAGAGCCGTGATGGCGAACCTATTACACACATGCCATAGGTGGCATGCGGAGCCATATCTGTGGACATGCGAGGATTGCATTAGATCAACTCCAGCGCACATGTGCGCACCAGCCGCCTAATTTTTGGCCTTACGGGCCCATCGGAAGTTGGGAAATAGGCTGTTTTTGTCCTCCAGGGGTGGTGGGGAAGGCCATTTTTGTCCCCACCCCCAGGCTCCTTGAAAGCCTCTGGAGCCTGGGGAGTGCAAAAAATGGGCCTTCCAGTCCCACTGGAAGTTGGGAAATGGGTCATTTACAGCCTCTAGAGGGCCTCCGGGGGGTGGGGAAGGCTGTTTTTGCCCTCCCCATGCTCCTAGAAAGCCTCTGGAGCCTGGAGAAGACAAAAAACAGGCCTTCAGGTCTCACCGGAAATCAGAAAACGGACTATTTTCGGCCTCTGGAGGGCCTCCGGGGGTTGGGGAAGGCCATTTTCACCCTCCCCAGGCTCAAAGAAAGCCAGACTCAAAGAAAGCCAGGCTCTGGAGCCTGGGGAGGGTGTAAAATCGGCCTACTGGGCCCACCATGCCATCGCGTGCCAAAAGCAGGGGGTGCATGGGGAGTTGCACACGCATGCACGGGAGGGCAGGCACATTGAATCATGGGTATAGGCATGCATGCGTGTGACACCTCTGCGCTCCCCCGCTTTTGGCACGCGACGGCAAAAAGGTTAGCCATCACTGATATAGAGCAATATCCCTTATTAATCAGGATGCTAAGATTGTTACAGCAATATTGGCAAATAGATTGAATATATTTATATTCAAATTTTTAAATATAAAATTATATTTAAAATGACCAGTCTGGATTTTTAAGAGGCTGACAAATGTCAGATGTAGTAAGAAGGGTATTAAATAAAGGTTAGTATATAAAGAATTGTATATAAAAAATTGTATATAAAAAATAGTATATAAAAAATTGAAGGCAGGTTTATTTCCATTAGATGTATTTAAGGCCTTCGATTGTGTGGAATGGCCTACATTGAAGATATTAATAGAGAAGTTAGGTTTTGGAAAAAATATTAGAAAAGTGATAAATCAACTATATTCAGAGAATAAAGCGAGAATAGTTATAAATGATGGTGTTACAGAGAGAATAACCTTACACCGGGAAATGAGACAGGGTTGCCCTTTATCCCCAGTTTTATTTGCATTCTTGATGGAGGTTTTGGCAAATGCAATTAGGGAACATTCATTGATTGAAGGAATTGGTGTACATAAGAAAACTAAAATAAGTTTATTTGCAGATGATACATTTTTGTATTTAGAGCTATATGTATTATGTTTGTATTATTTGTATTCAAAATTTAAGAAAATATTATTAAAAAAATAAAATGTTTCAATATGAGGTCACGCTCAATATTTTCAATCACCATAATATTTATTAAAAATATTTATTTATTAAAATAAACGCCCATTTATATTTATTACAATTGATACATTTAATATAATCTTTTCCTTACCCAATTGATCAGCTATTTTCCCTTCTGGACATAGTTTACAGTCATAGCAGCAGGAAAATTTTCCTTCCACTTTTATCTTGCTATGGCCAAGAAGACATTCTTTGTTACAGATGGAAAGTGGTAATGCCTGCTTGTTAATAAAACCAAAATTCACAGAAAGAATTTATTTTTGGCGGATTGTTCTTTTCATCACTTACACATATGCTAACTCTTCATATGTAATCCAAACATTGGTGTTGCAATTTCCAGTTTTATTCCTGGTGTAAATTCACTGCTGAATGTTCAACTGTTTCTTATTTCATACCTATTACATTAATCGATTGATCATTCCCAATAATTAGATAGAACAGAACAGAACAGAATATCACAGTTGGAAGGGACCTTGGAGGTCTTCTAGTCCAACCCCTGCTTAGGTAGGAAACCCTACACAACTTCAGACAAATGGTTATCTAATCTCTTCTTAAAAACTTCCAGTGTTGGAGCATTAACAACTTCAGGAAAAGGGGGAAATGAGACATTACCTGGTTAAATATGAGAGGCCAAATGGCTTCCTTGTCAGAAATAGTGAGGAACTTTTCTGAGGGAGCCTTGGGGTCGATCTTTCCAATTTGGATTTTCAGAAAGGACTTGTTTAGAAATGTGACCCAATTTAAAATATCAAGCCCAGTTTCTAATTCACCATTGGGGCCAAAAGAAATCTGATCTCCAACACTGTTGTTAAAGGAAACTTGTTGCAAAAAATGGTGGAGCTAAAGAAAAATGACAAAAAAGAGGAAAGAAACAGGAAAGTTATCGGAACTCTTTGAAGGGGATGGGAAAATTTCAATTTGTTTCTTTCAATTTGGCCTAGGCTTAAAGAAAAGTAAGCTGTTCTATTTTGCCTCGGTCAAACTATTTCAAACTGGTAAAAAAATATATTTTTATCAAATACATTTTTAACTCTCAGCTAAAAAACTGTGAGATGAGAATTCCAACAGAAAATCAAGAAAGGGATAGATCTGGGAAATCACTTTGCTTTGATAGAGCATTTCAGAAATGGGGAATTCAGTGTTCTGCCATATAAAAGGCAAGATAGAGAATGACATGGTGACCTAGTGGTGAAGACCCCTGCATCCAATTTAGAAGGTTAAGAGTTCAATCCTAGACAGTGAAAACTGTTTCTCTATGAGGGCCTAAAGAGAAAATAGCTGCTGTGAACAATGTGTGGTGTCAGGAAGGGCATCCGGCCAGTAAACACTCAGGTCCATTCAGTTGTTCCAGACTACCCTGAATTAAGGGATTACAAGGTCATGAAAAGAGACTTAATGCAGGCAAGGTAGAATTCTCTGAGACAGACAATTCTAGGTCAAGATGTCTTTTACTTCCATCCAGGGGTAATGCCAGGTGTTATTTTTGAAAAAAATAAATAAACTTGAAATATTCTTCATGCCATTCATTGACAACTTTGTTATTCACTGGAAGTAGCACTAAGTATAGTTGCCTTTTGAATACGTACATTTAACACCTTTGAATCTTAGTAATTCAAAAATTAAGCTGGTGAGGAGTAATAATGCTATTCAGTAGTAAAGCAGTTTTCATTTTCTACATGTAAAATTGTCAAATATAATGGATTGAATAACATCCTGTACATACCATTTTAGACATAAAAATAGTTCATATGTTACAAATTCTTGTGTCTTTATCTAAACCTTAGATTTATATTTTATTTTTTCATTTTCTTTCATATGAAAATATCAACTACTTCTATATAGCTTTCAAAGCTATCTATAAAGAATTATAACTGTTAAAACAACACAACACAACAAAACAAAACAAAACACAAAACCAGTCTCCTATTCTGGTACTTGGTGATTTCCCCAAATTTTGTATTAGCCAACATTACTTGCCAGGGTGATTGTAGGAAGAGCTTCCATCTACTCTCATTCATTTTTTGTCCCCCTTTGAGTTTGGCAGAGCGCATGGCCTTCAGAGCATGTGCCACAGCATCGACTGCATTATAGACACTGTAACTATGTGCATTCATATTGGTCTCAAAGACAGAATTAGGAAGAATCTCCAGCTTCTCTTTTCCAGTGCAGATCCTTTCAGCATTCTCATCTCTAATATCACTGGACAAGGAGCATTCAAATGCATCTTTCCAGAAATCCCTAATAAGCCCATCATCTTTTTCTAAGTTTGGGTCTTTATTCTGCATAAATTGTTAAAATCCGGTCAGCTCCTTTGAGTGAATTGCAAAAGAAAGTGCACCATGGAGAAAATCAATGGGCAATTGGCTTTGCATTTGAATGGATGTGAATTCCATCTGGCCTGTCATGATCCAAACTTTGGCCTTTCTCTCCTTTGGAATATTATCATAATTGGAAAAATTGAACATTATTCTCAAAATCACCATGCCTGCATTTTCAGCACTTAA